TTAGGATCAGGAAGACAAGGATATCCTTTCTCATCATTTTTATTCAGCATTATTTTGAAAACCTTCCTATTGAAATAAGGCAGTGAGAAAATATAAAAGCACAAAGATTAAAAAGAAAGATGAAAAAGTTTTATTTGAAGAAGATAACATTGTTTATCACCAAATCAGTTACTAGAATGAAACAATTTCTAGGGAGTAAAATGAAATTTTATTTTATATATACTACAGTGGAACTATTGAAATATAAAATGAAATGAACTCCATTTACAGTATCATAAAACATAAATAATGAGGAGTGCTTACTCCTTGGCAGAAAAGTTATGACCAACCTAGACAGCATATTAAAAAGCAGAGACATTACTTTACCAACAAAGGTCCATCTTGTCAAGGCTATGGCTTTCCAGTGGTCATGTATGGATATGAGAGTTGGACTATAAAGAAAGCTGAGGGCCAAAGAATTGATGCTTTTGAACTGTGGTGTTGGAGAAGACTCTTGAGAGTCCCTTGGACTGCAAGGAGATCTAACCAGTCCATCCTAAAGGAAATCAGTCCTGAATATTCACTGGAAGGACTGATGCTGAAGCTGAAACTCCAATACTTTGGCCACCTGATGTGAAGAGCTGACTCATTTGAAAAGACCTTGATGCTGGGAAAGATTGAGGGCAGGAGGAGAACGGGATGACAGAGGATGAGATGGTTGGATGGCATTACCAACTCAATGGAGATGAGTTTGAGTAAACTCTGGGAGTTGGTGATGGACAGGGAGGCCTAGCATGCTGTGGTCTATGGGGCCACGAAGAATCAGACACGACTGAGTGACTGAACTGAACTGAGCTAAATTGAACATTTAGTGAAATACATGCAAATCATTTATATTGACAATTTTTAAGCAATGCTGAAAGAAATTAGAAGAGAAGTAAATAAAAGGACAAAAATGCTATGTTCATGGATTTTCAAACTCAATATCATTAAGATTTCAATTGTCTCCAAATTGATCTATAGGTTTAACTCAATCCCAGGCAAATCCTGATGGACTCAGAAACTGATGAGTTGATTCTCAAACTTATTTAGAAATTTAAAGGACTTAAAATAGTCAAAGGAACTTCAAAAAGAACAAAATTGGAAGGCTCACATTAAGTGATTTCATAACTTACTACAGAGTTCCTGAATTTGAGACAATGAACCCTAAAGAAGCTCAAAGAGAAGGGAACGCAATCAACAAATTGTATTTGACCATCTGGTTGAACATGGAGAAAATTAACCACAACCCCATCCTTAGACCCCTACAGCAGGAATTCAAGATGAGTCATAAAAGCTAAAACTGTAAATCTTCCAGAAGAAAATAGAAATATATTTTTATCCTTCAAACTAGAGAAGGTTTCTTAGAATGGATTTAAAAGGCACTACATGTAAAAATCAGTAAATTGGACTTCACCAAAACAAAAAACTCCTACCCTGAACGGCATAATTAAGAAAACAAGAAGTAAGCTAAAGACTGGGAGGAAATATTTGCAAGGCGTGTATCTGACAGAGACCTCACGGTCAGTACGTGCAATGAGCTTCCACAGACAGATAATAAAAAAGACCCTAATAAAATGAGCAAAAGGCTTGGACACTTCTCAAAGGAAGATGTAGAATTTGCCAATAAACCCTTGAAAAGGGGTTCAGCATTACTCATCATCAGAGAAATATCAATTAAAATCACCACATGACACCATTCCACTGACCTCAGTATGGCTAAAATTTAAAATTTTGAGAGACCAAATGCTAGCAAGGTTGTAATTAACGGGAATTCCTATGGACCGCTGATGGAAGTCTAAAACGGTTGCATCACGTTTTGGAAAGCTTGCAAAATTTCACTCGTTATCTTTTTATTTCCCTTAAAAAATATCTGTCCATAAAAAATTTTACACAAAATGTGATTCATAATAGCTCCAAACTATAAACAACTCAACATCCATCCAATAGATAAGCAAGTTGTGCTATATTACATGATGGAACATGACTCAGCAACAAAAACTATTAAGTGGTTCTCATAACTTCTTGTTTGAATCTCTAGAACATTATACTGAGTGGAAGGAGGCAGAAACAGAATAGTTTATATTGGATGCTTCCATTTGTGTGAAGTTCAAAAGCAAGGAAACCTAACCTACAATGATAGCAGTCAGGATTGTGGATGATTATGGAGGATGGGGATGGGCTTTAATTTAAGAATAAGAATCTTCTGGGGTGACTGACAGGTTCCATATGTTGATTGGAATGGCGATTACAAGTGAAGGCATCATTTCCCTGTATGCAATTGTATCTCACAAGTTGAAGAATAATACTGACAGAGCATTTCTACTTAAATTGGACAAACACTTCTTTTATGATCTGAAGTAAAAAACATAATGGAAAAACACTAGGCAAAGAAATATGACCTAGTAGAAAAGGAAGAAAAAAGTTCAAGATTTTTCACAACAATTTGGGAAACTTATTTTGTAGGAAAAAATCACACTGCGATGATTCATGACTTCACTTTTAGTACTGCCACATTGAACACTACAGAAAGAATAACATTTTAATGGAAAAAAAACGTTCACCATATGCAGCTGCCCCACAGAATGACCACGAAGCGTCGGGGTGGTTTGACCTTTGATGATTTAGTTGACCTGAAATTCCCGCCATGATTTATGAACAAACCCATAGGCTTGAGGTTTTCCAGCTCCTCCGTCCTGCAATTTAACTGTCCTGTTCAATGGTATCAACCTCTTCCTACACTCTTAAGAGGATTTACGGTGTTTGTCTGCTGATATTTAAGCCCTGCTAGTTCCTGAGTCTGCTTTATCTGAAATGAGAGGCATGCTAGCTGCTGCCCCACCTACTAAATGGGAGAATTTCATCCCGTATGTTTATGGACAGTCTGTGCCCACACTGCGCAGCATTTTCTTAACTTTCATTTCCATCCATCTTCATGTTGGCTCAGGCCCTGTGGAGTCTGGAACCTAATGTTAAGCCTTCACGCAGTGATGGGGATTTTACCTCTGTCTGCTGGTCTGTTCAGGTAGACCGCTGAGTTATGCCTCTTCTATCCCCAGTGATTGGCTGCAGCCTCAGTGAGTAGGTCTCATCCTCAGCCCCCGGCGCCTGGCCTGAGCTGGGACCTGAACCCCCACTCAGGGCATCGTTGGTACCATGGCTGGCTGTGTCCCCGCCCTGACTCTTGCCTGCGGAGAGCGGCCACAGCCATTCACCTCCTCCCTTCTCGCTCTCTCTATGCTGGGCCATGGTGAACTGGAATTTCCACTTCTGGTTTCTTCCCAGGGGTGCTTTCCAGCCTTCCCCATAATCTGGGGGAACTAATACCCCAGCCTTTCGAACCTGAGGCTGCCTGAACCATAAACATGTTGCCCCCATCCCAGTAGGGGACTCGAAGGAGTGTAGCAGATGGGGAAGCGAAGAAAGGAGTCTGGCTTTTCCAGTCACTGTCAGCGATATCCTCGGCTTCCCATCTGCATCATCAGCCCCAGCTGAGGCACCAGAGAACCAGAATCCTGGGGTGGGGCGCCTACCCTTCTCCAGGGGACCTTCCCGACCCAGGGATCGAACCAGCAGTGCAGGTGATTCTTAACCAACTGAGCTATCAGAGAAGCCCCATCAACCCCAAAAAATCTTTAATCTGGAGATAAATGAATGCCATTTTCAAGTATGGCTTGAAAATTCTTGGAAGACAAGAGAGGAAGGACAACCCAACTGTTTTGCAAACCTTCAGGACAGATGAGTTGGAAAGTTCCTCAAACCTTTAAGGGGCTATGGTGTTTAATTGAGACTGTTTATTGACTTTTTTTTTTTTTAAAAAAAAAGATCTCATCTTGTGGTCATCATTCTGTCGTCAATGGCACAGTATTTGTTTTCCTGATAAAAGGAGATTTATTAAGACATCTATTCCTGGGCAACTTAAAAACTCCAGTAACAAAGAAGCTTTCAATATCAGAAGTCAAGAAGAAAATTCTATGTAATTAAATGTACTTTTGGCTAATAGATTTATCTTAACTAATGACTTTGTGAATGTGTGATAGTACAGACTCAGACTCAGACTTCATTTTCTATTGCGTTATTGACGAATATAGGGCTTCCCAGGCGGCTCAGCAGTCAACAGTCTGCCTGCCCAAGCAGGAGACACAGGAGATGCGGGTTCCATCTCTGGGTCAGAGACGATCCCCTGAAGAAGGAAATGGCAGCCCACTCCGGTACTCTTGCCTGGGAAGCCCCATGGACAGAGGAGCCTGGTGGGCCGCAGTCCACGGGGTCCAAAGAGTTGGACACAAGTCAGTGACTGAGCACATCGACTGAAACACATGAAGATGCATTTTGACGCCAGTCAAATTGTTGTGGCGGCATAGTGGTCCAGTTCACTATGAGTGTGTATCACTGCAGCCACACTGTGGTATTATGCAAGATTTACCTGAGTTTCTAGTGAGGACAAGGCCCCAGATGCATCATTATTCTTATGGAGCACAATAATTGTCCTTCTTCCAGCTTCTGAATGGTACCAGAGTAGTAGCACATTCTTCTAAACAGTACATGTTGGTTATGATACGAATGTATGCTTTTCTCAAACATGTGTATTTCACTGCCCCCAGAGCCTCACCTCCCAAGTCCTCTTCAGAGCATTTCAGGTGGTCCCTGCCGCCTCAATGGAATAGGCAAGGCCGCTGGCAAGGTCACCAACAAGCTAATCCAGGGGTCGGCCCGCACTTGTCACCCTACTCAGCTTCTCCTGGCCAAGCTCCTGGGCGGAAACATCTGTGCCTCCACCCTGCTGCCCCCTGGCCTTCCAGTCTTTACCGATTCTCCCTCCTTGGCACTCGTGCCCCCTGCACCTCCTCCAGCAGGGACCGAGGCAGCATGTGTGTGAATAGCCCTGGAGGCCGCTGCCTTCCGAGTCACCTCCCGCATCCCGCATCCCGGTACAACTACCCCACAAGTGATGCCAACGCAACGCTCCACCAGAGGCTCGGATGACACCCACCCCCCGCCCCAGCCCTAGTCCCCACGGCAACCGGTGGGACCACCACTCTTAGTGCCCCGTGTCCTCAGCTGAGGCTGGATCCTTGGATGCCCCTCCTCCTCATAACCTCACATCTCACGATCAAGTCAATGGCACGTTCTATTGGCCCAACCTCCAACACAGGGAGCGAACCCGGCCATGGCCCACCGCTGCCGCTGGCCTGGGTGGTCACACGTCTGAGCAGCCTCAGGACCCCTGCGGGTCCGGTCCCCTTACAGTCAGCTCCTGGCAACGGCCAAGTGGTCCCTGCAAAGCATAAATAAGCACATCTTTTCTTATTTAGAAAGCCCAAGCGGCTCCCTCCCTTGGTGGAAATCCATCTCAGAGCCTCCCCTCTGCCCCCGGCTGTTTCCTTGGCCTGCCTTTCCCAGTCGGGCACCTTTGTCATCTCAGACGCTCTCCTCTGCTCCTGGCTGTTTCCTTGGCCTGTATGTCGCAGGCGGGCACCTTTGGCCCGCGGTTCTCATCTCGCTCTCCTGGCAAGGGTCCTGACAAAAGCTTGCACCCCGCTCTCACCCCATTCTCAGGGGTCCCTCTGCGGGGAGCCTGTTTCCCCAGGTGAGTATACACACACGAACAGTCCTGAGTTCCCCTGGGATGCGCTGGCTGTGAAGGGTCCTCCAAGCTCCTTGTCACGTTGCTCAGGGCCAGGTACCTGACTGGTGTTGCTTCATCAGGCTCGTCGGAGATGGAGACTAAGACCTCCTTAGTGGGCGCGGGCCAGCCACGGCGGCTCCCGGCTGGGCTCGGAAAGGTCTGGAATACCCTATAGGAGCCCACACCCTGGGTGGGGAAGGGCGGGATCAGCCCAACAGGAAATCTTTCCTGTCCTTTGTAGCAACAGCCACAGAAGTGTCCTAGGCTCTCACAAGTGTCCTGCGGGTGCTAAAGGCAGCAGCTCCGGGTGTTCGGCCACTGGTGAGCAGCAGCTGGTGGGAACCTGGGGTGATGGGATCTCCTGGGACTCAGGTGCAGGAGAGAGGCCACCCCAGCGTCACCAACACCCGCCAGGAGGAACGGAAACTGATCCAAGGGGCCGGAGGGATGTGAGGGTAGACATAGCAGACTCTAACCCTCAGGTGTAGAGGTGTAAGGCTTTCGTTTTTGCTTTCATCTTGCTATCACCTAGGAAAAAAAGAGCTGAGGGATGGGGGGTGGGGGGCTTGATATTTAACCTTTGACAAAAGAGAAAAACTTTCAAACATCTAAGTGCAAATTTTTTTTTTAATGCAACTTACAAATGAAACCAAAGGATTATTTCATTTAGAGAAATGTCTGGGACAGTGGTTTCAAAAATGAATGAGGTGATTAGTGCTTATCTACAGACATCCAGACGTAACTTCATAAACATGAAAAATCAAGTGCCACATGGAGTTTTTTTTTAATTACATTACATAGAATCCATCTTTCCACTGACTATTTCTATGTTGATTGAATTATTAAGATTAATAAATCTTACATGAAGCTGCAATTCTCAGATAGTACACAATCCAAGACAACAAATAGTGGTTAAATTATAGATTCCAATTTTGACATATAAGGAGTCATGAACGAATTTTATATATTTGATTTAGAAAATAAAACATGATTTGAATATTCAAAGTGTCTGTAGAATTTTTTAAGCTGCTTAATAATCTTCAGTAACAATCTTTATCCTTATCTCTTTTATCTCAAGATAATAAGATTTGAACTTGAGTTTATAATAACTGTTATGAACTATCAAATGAGATGTATATGTTAAACTCTGAGAGATTAAAGGAAAGTGTTACTTTCATCTAAGAGTAAGGATTCAGCGTATAATGGTGTTTGAGACGGTTCTTTGAGAGGGTGACTGAGGCGAAAGTTACAGAGTGGAAGTCACTTTGGGAGGGTGGAGCTCAAGCTTGGCAGTCAAAGGATGCTGTAAGTGAGGATGTGTGTGTCTGGGCGACAGAAACGCTGGGTGGACAAGCAAGCGTGATCTGGCAATTGTGAGGGATATACCTGTGTGCTGGAAAACCTTGGATTCCAAGTATAGGAGTTTAAACTTTATATGGTAGATCAACATCTTAAGAAGCAGGTAAGCCATCTCCAGACTCTCTTACCTGTCTGCTGGCCTCATGCAAAGAACTCAGAAGCTGTGGGGCTAGAGAACCACACAGTGGAAAAAGTCAGGATGCCAAGTACCACATTAAGAAAAGATCCCAGCAGGGTGGGAAGGAACTCTGAACTTCCAATTCACTATTACCAACTTTTTGTGACAACGAAATTTTATTACTGCAGCTGCCATTACCCGAACCAACACAACAGTGTTGCCTCATGCTCACAAGAGGGCTGCCTCAGCTCCAGGCTTCTACACATGTTACCCACAGGGAGATGGAGGATGGGACAAAAGGTTGAAATGGACCTGCTGCCTGAGTCTCTCCTGCTTAAACAGGTCTCTTGGGAGGACTAGACCAGTCATCATTGAGGAAACTGATTACATGGGCACCACATGCTGCAAGAAATATTTTAACCTGACACATTACCTCCCCAGATTCAAGATTTGGTTGGATATAGACCAGAAAACTGACAGTGTTTAGCATAAAAACTAACATATTTAGCGTTGTTTTCCCATCACCCCCTCAAGACCCATGAAAGAAATAATGTGAGTAAATCACAAAGGTACGTTGAAGTCACTGGCTGAGACGTAATGAAGACAGGCAGTCAGAGGATGTGTATCTTGCCCAGCACAGTAAAGTGGTGATTTGGGGCATTGTTTCCCTGATTAGATTAAGAGCAACAGGAGGTCAGGGGCTCTGCTTGGCTATGCTCCTCACTTTTTCCTACCTCCCAACAGCTACTAAGTTCGAGACAAATAAAGAATGAATATGTAATGAGCAAATAGCTGGTGAATGGAGAGGAAATACAGATGCAAAAGACACTGTGAATCACAGCTGCATGAATGGGCTGAGGAATAAGAGTGATGACCGTGGTGCACACGCCCGGCCTGCATAACTCTCTCGATTCTTTCAGTTACTCACGACGAGGAGCCCCAAAGGAAAAGCAGCCCCCCAGGACACAGCGGACGGACGTCACCAGCCCTTCTGCTGCAGTTCTGTCTCGTGTCTGTCTTTTTCTCTGCAGCTCAGCTAAGCGGCCTCGTCTCTGAGCCCAGCCCAGTCCCAGAGATGTCTACACCGTCACACTCAGCACTGGATCAGCACCCAGGTGGGTCTCCAGACTTCCTATTGGATCAGCCCGGCAGGCAACAGATGTTCAGACAGGAGGAGTCTAGAGAGAAGACTGAGGTCTTCAACTGACATCTCTTGCCTCCACCTGACTGTGGAGATAGAAGGGTACAAGATCACCAGGGAAAGAAAGGAACACAGTCACAGTCTTGGCCACGTGCAGGGTGGTGGGTAAGAACCAGTCCTCCGCCTCAGTGTCCGCTACATGGCCATGGTCACCTGTGTGTTACAGTTAGCTGAAGCCAAATTAAACAGAACTTACAATTCAGCTTCTCAGGTGCGCCGGACACATTTCAGATGCTCAGTCTGTCAGCACAGGTGTGATGCACCTCTCCCATCCCCGAAGGTCTGCTGTACAGTCCTGGTTCCACAGACACCAGAGGCCAAGCCGTTTCCTGCATGCCTGGATAATGTCCGAGTCAAGAAGAGCGAGCCCGGGATTGGGCTCTGGGATTTCAGGGGTATTTTCTAGTTCCTCCAACAGGAGACACCTTGAGAATCCCTTTCCTGACCCCATAAATAAGCACTTGTTGAATGGCCCTTGCAGGGGCCTTCAAACATAACCAATGCAGAATTCTCAAGAACAACAAATGCAGTCAAGGCAGTATTCCCATGAGCTGCAACCTCAAGCTTGTTTTTAAAAAAGAACTTTGCTTTCTTTTAAATTTGGGTTTGATTTTCAGTGGAGTCACAGTATCTCTGCAGCAGGAGATCTAGCCTACTCACGTCCGAGGAAAAGCTCCCGAGTCACTGAGCGCTGAGATATTGCCAGTCTGAACTTGGCTGATTCAGAGCTGCGCTCCTGTTTTTCCTCCCAGGGTGTGAGCTGTCCGTTCCGAAGGGGCCTGTGTATCTTCTGTGTGTCTTCAGGGGAAGACATGTCTGGTTTGCTCCACTCCTGGGCGCCACAGAGAGGAGTTCACAGCGCCCGGTCTCTGGCCATCAGCCTCCACTTCGGCCAAAGCTGCGAAACGTCCTTGCCGGCCGTCCCGCTGGGCCCGGGAGACCCCGGTCACGAGCAGCGACTCTGCTGGCTCCTCTCTGTCTCTCGGAGGGCCCGAGCGGGTCTGGCCCCTGCAGCAGGACTGTCTCGGCTCCTCTGCCTGGACCCCTGTGTCGGCCCTTCTGTGCTGAGGGCACCCAGGCGGACGGAGGGGCCTCCCTGAGCCCTGCTTCCCGCTGTCCTGCCCTGGGGGCCTCTGTCCCCCACGCTCACGACCAGGGCTCCGCCGCTGAGACCGCAGCAGGGGTGGGAGGCAGGACAGAGGGGCCGGGCCGCTGCTCAGCCACTCAGCCTGGTTCGAGCGCTTTCCCTACCCCGGCAGCCTCCGCTTCCTCCTGCTCCTCTGCTCCAGGAAGACTTACCTCCTCGGGCAGCAGGGTAGTCTGCCTTTGTGACCTGCGTGACCCACACACTGCGCTGAGCTTTGTTCCTAGGTTCACCGTGAGTCTCTTGGGATTTCAGTCAGCATCTGCCATGGTTCTCAAAAGCTTGTGTTGGAACCCAAGAGTAAGAATCTGACTCTCAGTTTTGGAGGCAGTCATCCTGTGTTCTGCCTTCAGTGGACGCTTCCCAAGACCTCGGTGGCAGCCATGGACCCATCCAGGGAAAGGGCGATGGAGGGAGCGGAGGGGTCGGGGGAGCAGATGGCGCTGGGACGTGGACTTAATCAGGTTCATACCGACCCTCTCTGCTGCAGACGCCAGGCTACTAGGGATCTCTTTGCAAGCAGATTTGTGCAATAGCACTTTGCCATATAGCCTCTGGAATAACCGGCATATTTTGTAATTCTCTTAGATTACGGGGGTCTCTGATGCTCTCTGTTCTGACCCGAAAATTCTCCTAACAGTTGAGTGATCTGCTCTGCTTTTCTCTGGGTAGTTCTTCAATTTAAGCTAGAAAAGAAATGTCAGGGACTTCCTTGGTGGTCCAGGGGTTAAGACTTACCCTTCCAATTCAAAAGGTACAGGTTCAATCCCTGGTTTGGGGCCTAAGATCCCATTTGCCTAGTGGCAAAAAAAATCAAAGCATAAAACAGAAGCAATATTGCAACTAATTCCCTAAAGACTTTAAAAATGGTCCACATAAGAAGAAAATCTTAAAAAAAAGAAATTTCAGATGAGATTCAAGATATAAGGTAATTATGGGTTCAAGAGATTCAACAATGTAAATTGTTAACACCCTCATATGGGTTTCAATTTCATAAATAATAGCATCATTTTGTACTCTACATATTCTCCACCATTTCACCCATATTTTCTTTATTGAGAGTCTAGTTTAGCAACTTCAAAACTGCTGACAAATCAGTACTTAGAGTGAGAATTGAATGCATAGAAATTCATATATAGCCACACCCACAAAGACAGAATTGTTTGGATTCCTCTCATAACAAACTGCTACCAAAATCATAATCAAGGCCTAGTAAATGTCAGGCTTGCTATGTTGCTATATATCTTTCCAACCTGGCTTTAGTCAAGATAAACAAGAATTATTGCTCAGATGACTTCTCAGAATCTTCAGACTTGGTGGAAATGACAAACATGACTAAAATATTAAGAATGTATTTGCACAGAGTGAGAAACTCTCTTTGAATCAAGAGCATCACTTGTTCCTCGTGTCATAGTCGGCTAGCTCTCATCAACAGTGTAGAGAGGTGGGTTATTGTACACATTTCAGCTCTGGGCTGTGGGGAAAGGAAGCAAAGTGAGCTTTCTTTAATAACTGGCATAGATTTCACAGTTTCCAAAAGCAAAATAACTGATGCATAAACATTTTCAAAATAGGGTTTTTGTGTTTTTTTTCCAGCAGCGTGATGCAAATCATTGGGCAAACCACACCATCTTCTCCTCCATGGCCACATGAAGTCAAGACACCTTTAGGGCAGACTCACAGGTCATTCTTGCTTTCCTCAAAATAAACAAGGAGTCTTAGTTTTATTTTCTCTAAGTGGTGATCGCAAAGTTCTTGTCCAGATGTTCTCCTTTATAAGAATTAAAATGGAAAAATTTGATAAAAGTATATAAAGACTCTTGAGTATACCCATTTGCTGTTTTTATTGTTAAAATATCACTAAAAACAGCAAAAGTGGATATAAAATAATCAAATGCTCTTATCGTCTCCATAGCTATGAACAAATGCTTTATTCAAGTTGATGTTTTGAGGACATAAATTAACTGCATTTTGATAACAAAGATAGTTGGCTTTCTCTTCTCAGAGTGTATTTAGTGGATCATAAATTACCTGTTCTTTCTTCATCAGATGAGAGTAAACTATTGTTACAACTTTCTTCATTTCTTTTGGGTTTATATGTTAGAGGTCAAACCATGACCTTATAAAACATGACCTGAGGTGCTAAGGGGGCCTGTGAAGATTTTAAATGGAATCCACTATAAACGAAGATACAATAAAATTCCATTTTACCCATGTGTCAACGGTTAAAAGCTCTCATCTATATTCTCTTTAAATTTCTATGTATATTTCATCTTTATAATGCTTTTTTCTTTTGTGTAAGTTTTAGGAATGTGGAAACTGGATTTTCAAAAAGACCTAAAGAATATGTGCTAATAAAATGCCTTCAGTCAATAAGCGGAACCTCGTTTCGTGTGGTTAACAGCTCTATCCTACACACATAGTAGATTTGTTCTCATTTCAGATACACAATAAACCATATTCATAAAGCTCTTGGAGCTTTACCGTCACTAGCTGTGACCCATGAAGAAATAAAATCCTCTAAGGCAGGTAGGACACTCGTGCGGTGGCAGCAGAAGGCATTCGGGGCCACACAAATCCTAAGTATAATATTATAGACACATTTTCCAGCCTAGCTCAGTATTAAGCCTTCATTTCACCCCAAGACGTTAATAAGTTAAAACTGAGAAACGCCATGATTATCACAGAATTTCGAGAATGAAGCAATTGGTTCCATGATTGTCTTTAAATGAGCTCCCAAGGTCCCTGACTTTCAGGAGTGTAACGGGCAATTTCTTCAGCCGTCCGATTACATTCCATCACTCACCTTACAGTGTTTTCATTTGTTGGTCATCGCCACAGACGATGAGCCAGAGGGGATAAAAAAAGAAGCGACTGAGTCGTTTACTTGCCTCAAAATCAAACCAAATATTTGTTTGAGGTTCCAAATATTTAGATAAGGTACCCACTAATTTTTATTTTACTTCATGTTTTGCACATCCTTTTCCAGAGCCGAAATGCCCTTTCCTCCACTTTATTTATTGATTTAAATGTCTTATGTAAAAGTAAACAGGAACAGATGAATTTTTTTTTTTAAAGAAAACACTTTGGTTCTTATGTGCCCAGTGAAAAACTTTATTTTTCTCACCTTTCAAATATTTTTCTGTATATTTAGTTTTCAGCATCCCAAGTAGGTTGCACGGTTTGTTTGAGTTTATTCTGTTTGTGGTTCACTGAATTTTTGAATATATAAATTTTTGTCTTGAACAATATTTGGGAAGGTTTTGGTTGTTATTCTTTCAAATAATTTTTCTCCAAACATCACTCTTTCTGCGCCCTCTAGCTCTCCAGTGTTGTGAGTGTGAGGACTTTGAGATTATTCCACAGCTTCCTTAGACTCTGTTCATTTTCTCCAATTGTCTTTTCCTCTGTCATTTAAATGATTTCTATTCATTGAAATTTAAGTTCACTGACTTTTCACTCTACCTCCTACATTCTACAAGCAAATCCATCCAAGGGATTATTCAATTTTATCTATTGCATTTCTTAGTTCTAAAATTTCCATTTCATAGCTTCACATATTCTCCTGAGAGCTTCACTTTTATTCATTTCAAGAGTGTTTACCTTGATCTCAAGGAGCATAGTTATAGTAGTTGCCTTAAAGTCTTCCTCTGATAATTCCAACATCTGGGTCACATTGAAATTGGCATCTGTTTATAATCTTTTCCTCTGAGTGTTGGTTTTAATTTTCTGGTTCATTGTACTTCATATAATTTGGGATTGTATCCTGGACATTTTTAATACTACATTATGAAATTTTGAATCCTGTTAAAATCTTCTGGAAAATATTAAATTTTGTTGCTGTTGTTTTAACAGGAAATCCACTCAGTTATCCCTCCCAGCTCCGGGGCCCCGCTGGGGCTTCCTTTAGGGTTAGAGCTGCTTGTGAAGGTCTATTCATTCAGTACAGCAGAGACAAGAGGGGGAAAAATAAATAATAAGGGTTTTTCTTACTCTTCAAATACTGAGTCCTTTTCTTTTTTTATCAAGTTTAAGTCCTTTGGCCAGAAAGATAAGTCTTCTCTTAGATTTTTAGAGCCTCATGTTCATTACTGTCAGAGCGCAAGGAATTGAACTACCAAACAAGAGGGCCAGGAGGAAACAGTGATACCCAAGCAAAAAACAACAAAAGGGGTCTTTCCCCACATTCAGTGCAGGGAATCTTCTTCCTGGTCCTTGGAATGTGTCCTTTTTGTTTGTCTCAAAAATGCATTGTTTGTTTCTGCCAGACAGTCCCTAACCCAGGTAGCCTTCAGGGCAAAGCCAGGAGCTAAAAGAGGAAACTCAGCCAGCAGGGGTTCTTAAATCCTGACTTTTCTCCTTAGAGGCGTGGCCACTGTTATCATCCAGAACCCTGGGGCAGTTGCTTCTGTTTTAATTGGTATTTATTTGTATGGTAATTAAGGCTTCTCTGAGGGCTCTCGGTAAAGAATCAGTCTACACTACAGGAGACCAGTGTTTGAAGACTGGGCTGGGAAGGTTCCCCTGGAGAAGGAAGTGAAAACCCACTTCAATATTCCTGCCTGGAGAATCCCATGGACAGAGGAGCCCTGCAGGCTACAGTCATGGGATCACACAGAGTCAGACATGAGTGATCGAGTGAACAGCAACAGTGGTGACCGGTATGAGAGGCAGGCTGCAGGGTGCTGGCTCCCCGGGAAGCAGCAGAGGTTAACTTGCTGGCGACATTCAGGTCTTCGTGCTCCATAAACTGGTTGCATGAGTCGGATGAGATCTGACTGCTTCCAGATAGGGGCATGCATTGCGAGACGACCCAGTTTAGATGTAAGATCCTGGAGAAGATTAGTACGGAAGTCCAAAACTAACACTCCTCCAACTCCGGAACTTGACAAGGCGTGTGCAGATGGGGTAGCTGAGAGCAGAAAGCATTTAACCACAGATCTGCTCAGGAGATGCCAGGGAGCTTAAAGTTTTCAGAGCAAATGTAAATGTGAAGCAGGCAGGCTACAGGGTGCTGGCTCCCCGGGAAGCAGCAGAGGTTAACTTTTCTCATATTTTGAAGCCCTCATGTAAGGATTATGTCTTGATAATGAGTTGCAGTCAGTATTAAATAATTTATTTATTGTTATAATGATAATCAATCTGTGAATCTGCTTAAGGTTGACCCAAGTTTTAATTAAATAACATCCATTCCATTTAATTCAAATTCAAAACAGTGACTCTACCTCATTTAAAGAGTATCTAAGAAACTTGAATTTAATTACCAGATGTAGATAACAGCACCTATTTTTTAATGAAGCCATCACTGAGAAATCTGAGGGAAAAAGTAGATCATTCGATTCAGAGTTGAATAAAAAGCCAGATAAAAGTATAAAAGTCTTCAAAACTATGAGAAGATGATAAAATTATACTTCTTTTCAGATCATGTAAAATGAAAAGCTCCTTTTAGCAAATGTTGCAAACA